TGTTAAATATAGTCAGAAGCTAGGCAATGGTGAATAAAAACTGCCATATAGTCAGTCATAGGATATTAGATTGGTTGTTAATGTTTTATTTTGAGAAGAGTAAGGAAGAAGCATTGAATATAACTGGAATTTATATAAGACCTTAAGGGGATGAATTACAAAGATTCTCTGGAAATAAAGATCAGAGGGAATTTAGGACTTTAAAGCTATAAGGCACCTTAGATCAAATGTAGCCCAATCTCCTCATTTTATAGACAAAGAAACTCAGACCCAGAGAGATGAAGTGATTTGGATAACAGTAAATGGAAGAGTCAGAATTTGAAGCCAGATCTCTTGACTCCAAATATCTTTATTATTGAGCCATGCTAGATTCTCAGTGAATATCTCAGTGAATATTGTCTTATTTGCTTTTTTGTCTTTGTTTCTCTAGCACTTGGCACTATCTCACATGTAAGAAATACTTAATAAATGCATGCTGACTTGAATTTAAAAAAAAGTGAATGTTGAAAACTAAAAATAAATAAATTAACTTAAAAAAGGAAAAAAAGAAAAGGACAGAATTTTGTTTGAAAAGAATCTGAAGATTTTAGTAAGGGGGGAGAGGTGTCATGTGTCAGCCCCTAAAGCTACTGAAATCTCAGGCATTAAGAGAGTCATTGCTTCCAGGAGCAAGGAGGTGATATCTCCACTGTAGTTTGCCTTGATCAGACCAAATATGAAATACTTTGTCCAGTTCTGGATGCTACTACTTTAGGGGGCTGTTGATAAGCTGGAACAAATCCAGAGGAGGCAGCCAGGATAGTGAAGGGACCTGGAGTTCTTGTCTTACAACACTGGGTTGAATGAATTAAGGAAGTGGAATATGATAGCTATCTTCAAACATTTGAAGGGTTGCCATATGTAAAAGTTATTAGACCTTTTCTGTTGATCCCCACAGGGCAAAACCAGGAGCAATTAGTGGAAGTTGTAAAAGGGCAAATTTAGTTCTGAGGAGAAAGGAAAAACTTCCCACCAGTTAGAGCAATTTATAAATGCAGCAGGCTGCCTTGGGAGATAATGAGTTCCCCTTCACTGGAGGTCTTTGAGGCAGAGACTGGGTCACCATTTGTCAAGGATGTCATAGTACTAAAATCCCCTCCAACTCAACATGTTGATTTTTTTTCTTTTATGCCATAGAGAACAGCAGGTACAACATTCAATGAATAGTAGAAGAGAGTGCCAAGAGTCAATATCGAAGAAGGGAATAAGCAATAAAGCCCCTGGCATCAGGTTTCTACATACAAAGTCTGGGGCAAGTCAAATCAGCAAGCATTTGTTAAGTAGCTACTGCATGCCAGGTACTGTGCTAAGTGCTAGGGACATAAAGAAAGGCAAAAGTAATCCCTGCCTTCAAGGAGCTCACAATCAAACAAGAGAAAAAATGGGTGATAGAGTGAACTAGATTTCCTAATTCAAGGAGGCAACTGGAGCTCATAGCATGCAATATGCCTCTGGGAAGAGAAACCTCATTTAAAAGGAACAGGCTAGATAAAAAAGAGGTAGAACTCAAGAGAAGGAATATGGTGAAGAATATTTCAGAAAGGGAAGAGGGAGAAAGAAGTGGTATTGTCTAGACTACTTGAACAGAAGAATGAATCAGATAAGTAGTTCAGAAAATTCCCTATAAAGAAGAGTAACATAATAGTGATAGGAGATTCCAATTAACTGGACATACATCTCACTACCAAAAGTTAAATCACCAATATATTTGTTGTTCTTTTTTTTGTTTCTTTTTTTTGTTTTTGCTAGGCAATGGGGTTAAGTGGCTTGCCCAGGGTCACACAGCTAGTAAGTGTTATGTGTCTGAGGCCAGATTTGAACTCAGGTCCTCCTGAATCCAGGGCTGGTGCTCTACCCACTGCACCACCTAGCTGCCCTCTTGTATTTTGTTTTTTTTTAAAGACTAGGTCTTCTAGGTCTCCCTATGACCCTCAGGCTAGAGGCATAGGTTCTCCTCAGGGGCTGATGTCACTACTGATCTTCCTTCTGGAGGCTCACCAGGGTGATGCCAAGTTTAGTGCAGACACCTGATTGGTTTAACCCACTGATGCCCAGAACTCCAGAGCTCAAGAGGACCCCCTAGTCTCATGTCCCTCAGTAGCTGCGATTACAAAAGTGTGTCGCCACTCCCAGCTACCAACATATTTGTAAGTTGATTTGTTAGTTTCATCCTTCAACAGGTAGAGGCTGCCACAAAGGGAGCTGTTTTTCAAGACCTGATTCTAACCAATAAGTGGAATACTTCCTTTAGAAGAAATAAAATGAAACTACAGGGTATGTGAACATTGTATCACAGAGTTGGTGCTGGAGAGGAGAGGAAGTCTGGATACAATCTGACACGCATCCTAGATTTGGTGAGAACTAAGCAGAAAAGAAAGAATAGGTAGGACCTAACGACCTAATGGTCTATTAGGAAGGACTGGAAAGCTCTTAAGACTGACATTCTGAATTCGGGGAGCTAACTAAAGAAACTGATGAGATGGGGCAGCTAGGTGGCACAGTGGTTAGAGCTCCAGCCTTGGACTCAGAAGGACCTGAGCTCAGATCTGGCCCAGACACTTGACACTTACCAGCTGTGTGACCCTGGGAAAGTCACTTAACCCCACTGCCAAGCAAAAACAACAACAACAACAACAACAAAAACCACCAAAAAACAAAACCAACAACCAAGACTGACATTCTGAAGAAAAAAGGGAGCTAACTAAAGAAATTGATGTAGTTCTACAGGGAATGTGTTGACCAGCTCATTTTTAAACATACTACAACTAAAGCAAGCCTCAGGGGAAAAATCATATCCCTACAAACACACACTGACAAAATAGAAAACAGAGAGGATTAGTGAACTGAATATACATTTTAAAAAATAGAAAGCCAAAAAATAAACAAACCTAAAATAAATACAAAATAGAAGATATTAAAAATTAGTAGAGAAATAGATAAATTGGAAACAAAAAAAACCATAGAAATAATAAACACTACTAAAAACTAGAACTTTGAAAAGACTAGTAAAATTAATAAATCTTTGGCTGATCTGATTAAAAAATAAAAGAGCAGAAAATCAAATCAATAAAATAGCCAATGACAATAGCCATAACAAGAAGAAATTAAAAAAATCAGAGCCTATTATACAGAGTTATATACTAACAAAACTGAGACTACAAAAGAAATACAGTACCTTAAATATGTGTATATATATGTATATATGTATATATATGTGTGTGTATATATATACACACACACACATATATAAAGTATTCAAATTGTCAAAAGACCATTAGAGATCCTAAATAGCCCAATCTCAGAGAAGAAAATATAACTAGCTGTAAGGGAACTATCAAAGGGGAAAAGAAACTCCTGATACTTACAGATTCATAGGAGAACTCTATCATATTTTAATTAGTATACATACTATATAAAATATTCTCAAAATTTTAGAAATAAAGCACCTACCAGAATCCTTTTATGAGACAAATGCAATATTAATATTGAAACCAGAGAAGGATAAAACAAGGAAGGAAAGCTATAGGCCAGTATCATTAATGAATATCAATTAAAAAAAATTAAACTTACAGCAATTTATCTAAGAAATCACTCATTATGACTGTTATGCATACAAAAATGGTTCAATGTTAGGAAAATAACACAATCACATTAAAAACTAAAACATCCAAAGCCACATGATTATTTCAATAGATATAGAAAAATCTTTTGACAAAGTATAGCATTCATTTATGCTAAAACAACAAAATTAAAGGCACCATAGACAATGAAGTAATATCATTACTAAACATATATGCACCAAATGGTATAGCATCCAGATTCTTAGAGGAGAAGTTCAGGGAGTTACAGGAAGAAATAGACAAAAACTATACTAGTGGGGACCTGAACCTCCCCCTCTCTGCACTAGATAAATCTAACCACAAAATAAACAAGGAAGAAGTTAAGGAGGTGAATAGAACATTAGAAAAGTTAGGTATGATAGACCTCTGGAGAAAACTGAATGGGGATAGAAAGGAATATACTTTTTTCTCGGCAGTACATGGCACATACACAAAAATTGACCATGTACTAGGGCATAAAAACCTCACAATCCAATGCAGAAAGGCAGAAATATTAAATGCATCCTTTTCAGATCATGATGCAATAAAAATTATATGTAATAAAGGGCCATGGAAAGATAGACTAAAAAATAATTGGAAACTAAATAATCTAATCCTAAAAAATGATTGGGTCAAACAACAAATCATAGAAACAATCAATAATTTCATTCAAGAGAATGACAATAATGAGACAACATACCAAAACTTATGGGATGCAGCGAAAGCAGTTCTTAGGGGAAGTTTTATATCTCTAAATGCTTACATAAATAAAATAGAAAAAGAGGAGATTAATGAATTGGGCATACAACTAAAAAAACTAGAAAAAGAACAAATTAAAAATCCTCAACTAAACACCAAATTAGAAATATTGAAAACCAAAGGAAAAATTAATAAAATTGAAATTAAGAAAACTATTGAACTAATAAATAAAACTAAGAGCTGGTTTTATGAAAAAACCAATAAAATAGATAAACCTTTGGTTAATTTAATTAAAAAAAGAAAGAAGAAAACCAAATTACTAGTATCAAGAATGAAAAGGGTGAAGCTACCACCAAGGAAGAGGAAATTAAAACAATAATTAGGAATTATTTTGCCCAACTATATGCCAACAAATTTGACAATCTTAGTGAAATGGATACATATTTACAAAAATATAAATTGCCCAGATTAACCAAAAGGAAGTAAAATACTTAAATAACCCCATCTCAGAAAAAGAAATTGAACAAGCCATTGATGAACTCCCTAGGAAAAAATCTCCAGGGCCAGATGGATTTACATGCGAATTCTATCAAACATTTAAAGAACAATTAATTCCAATACTATATAGACTATTTGGGAAAATAGGTGAAGAAGGAGTCTTACCAAATTCTTTTTATGATACAAATATGGTGTTGATACCTAAACCAGGAAGAGTCAAAATAGAGAAAGAAAATTATAGACCAATTTCTCTAATGAATATAGATGCAAAAATTTTAAACAAAATACTAGCAAATAGATTGCAGCAACTTATCACAAGAATAATACACTATGACCAGGTAGGATTTATACCAGGAATGCAGGGTTGGTTCAATATTAGGAAAACTATCAGCATCATTGAGCATATCAACACCAAAACCAACAGAAACCACATGATCATCTCAATAGATGCAGAAAAAGCTTTTGATAAAATACAACACCCATTCCTATTAAAAACACTAGAAAGCATAGGTATAAATGGAGTCTTCCTTAAAATAATAAATAGCATATCTAAAACCTTCAGCAAGCATTATATGTAATGGGACAGGCTAGAAGCATTTCCAATAAGATCGGGGTGAAACAAGGATGTCCATTATCACCACTGTTATTCAATATTGTACTGGAAACCTTAGCTTTAGCAATAAGAGAAGAAAAAGAAATTGAAGGCATTAGAATAGGCAAAGAAGAAACAAAGCTATCACTCTTTGCAGATGACATGATGATATACTTAGAGAATCCTAGAGAATCAAGTAAAAAACTACTTGAAATAATAAACAACTTTAGCAAAGTTGCAGGCTATAAAATAAACCCACATAAATCATCAGCATTTCTATATATTACCAACAAAGCCCAACAGCAAGAGATAGAAAGAGAAATCCCATTTAAACTTACTGTAGACATTATAAAATATTTAGGAGTCTACCTCCAAACAAACCCAGGAACTCTATGAACACAATTACAAAACACTTTTCACACAAATAAAATCAGATCTAAATAATTGGAAAAACATCAGTTGCTCATGGGTAGGCCGAGCTAATATAATAAAAATGACAATCCTACCTAAGCTAATTTACTTATTCAGTGCCATACCAATCAAACTACCAAAAAATTATTTTATAGAGTTAGAAAAAATAATAACAAGATTCATTTGGAAGAAAAAAAGGTCCAGAATATCAAAGGAACTAATGAAAAGAAATGCAGGGGAAGGTGGCCTAGCAATTCCAGATCTTAAATTGTATTATAAAGCAGCAATCATCAAAACTGCTTGGTACTGGCTAAGAAATAGGGAGGTGGATCAGTGGAATAGGTTAAATATGCAAGACACAGTAGTCAATGACTATAGTAATCTATTATTTGATAAACCCAAAGACCCCAGCTTCTGGGATAAGAACCCACTCTTTGAAAAAAACTGCTGGGAAAACTGGAAAAGAGTATGGCAGAAACTAGGCATAGACCCAAATCTCACACCATATACCAAAATAAAGTCAAAATGGGTTCAGACTTAGATATAAAGGCTGATACCATAAGTAAACTGGGAGAACAAGGAATAGTTTACCTATCAGATCTATGGAGAACAGAAGAATTCATGACCAAACAGGAGATAGACATTATGAAAAGCAAAATGGATAATTTTGATTACATTAAATGGAAAAGTTTTTGCACAAACAAAGCCAATGCAACTAAGACTAGAAGGAAGGTAGAAAATTGGGAAAGAATTTTTACAACCAGTCTCTCTGGTAAAGGCCTCATTTCTAAAATATTAGAGAATTAAGACAAATTTATAAGAACACAAGCCATTCCCCAATTGATAAATGGTCAAAGGATATGAACAGACAGTTCTCAGATGAAGAAATTAAAGCCATCTATAGTCATATGAAAAAATGCTCTAAATCGTTATTGATTAGAGAAATGCAAATCAAAACAACTCTGAGGTACCACATCACACCTATCAGATTGGCCAACATGACAAAACAGGAAAATGATAAATGTTGGAGAAGATGTGGGAAAATTGGAACACTAATACATTGTTGGTGGAGTTGTGAAATGATCCAATCATTTTGGAGAACAATTTGGAACTATGCCCAAAGGGCTACAAAAATGTGCATACCCTTTGATCCAGCAATAGCACTTCTAGGGCTATATCCCAAAGAGATCAAACAAATGGGAAAAGGACCCACATGTACAAAAATGTTCATAGCAGCTCTTTTTGTGGTGGCAAAGAATTGGAAATTGAGAGGATGCCCATCAATTGGGGAATGGCTGAGCAAGTTGTGGTATATGAATGTAATGGAATACTATTGTTCTATAAGAAATGATGAACAGGCTGACTTCAGAAAACCTGGAAAGACTTATATGGTCTGATGTTGAGTGAAGTGAGTAGAACCAAGAGGACTTTGTACACAATAACAGCCACATTATGTCATGACTAATATTGTTAAACTGAACCCTTCTCAGCATTACAAGGATCTAAGACATCTCCAGAGGCCTCGGAATGGAAAATGCTGTCCACATCCAAAGAAAGAACTATGGAAGTCGAATCGCTATCACTTATTTTTACCTTCTGTTGAGTTTTGTTTCATTTTTCTGATGGTTCCTCCTGTTGGTTTTAATTTTTACTTACAACTTCACTAATGTGAAAACATATTTAATAAGAATGTAAATGTAAAGCCTATATCAGATTGTGTGCCATCTTGGGGAGGGTGTGTGGGAGGAAGGGGAAGAAAAATTTTCAACTCAAAAGCATATGGAAGTGGTTGTTGATAAATCAAAATAAATTAATAAAATAAAAAACAACAACAACAAATTATAGGCATAGAGAAGTCTTTTTATTAATATCATTTAAAATTGATCTGAAACCAAAAGAAATTACCATATGCAGTGGTAATACACTAGAACCTTTCCCAACAAGTACATGAGTAAAATAATGATACCTACTCTCGCCGCTGTTATTTTATATAGTTCTGGAAATACTAGCAACATTAATGAGACAAGAGAAAGAAATTAAAGGCATAAAGATAGGCATAGAAGAGATAAAATTATCTCTATTTGCTAATGATATGATGGTATACTTGGGAAAGCCTAGGAAATTAGTCAACAAAGATACTAATTAGACAATTAATAGCTTCAGTAAAGTTGCAGACTACAAAATAAATCCTCAAAAATTAACTGCATTTTATAATAATAGCAAAATCCAAGAAGCAATGACAGAAAGGAAAATCCCCTTCTAAATAACTACAAAATAGGGAACAATCTGCCAAAACACACAAAAGACTTACATAAATTTATGTACAAAATACTTCTTAATGATAAAAAGAAGAATTTAAATACCTAAAAGTACATTTAGTGCTCATGACTGGGCCATATCTATATACCAAAGATGGAAATATTGCTAATTAATGCTATACTAATCAAATCACCAAAGGGATACTTAATAGAACTTGGTAAAAGTGATATCAAAATCCATTTGGTAAAAAAAAATATGCTTAGGAAGACAGAAGCAAAGGAAGGAAACTGAGGGTGAACATGAAAGAACAGTATACTGTACTTCCCTTAAGAATAGCACCAGGAACTCAAAATCCCAGAATGAGCTGAGGCTGGAAATGGATGCTAAAGACAACAAAACATGGTTTGGGTTTGGGTTGTTATGGGTTTTTTTTCTTGCTTGTCTTGTTGGTTTTAGCTATGTTGTGGGTAAGAAAAGGATCAAAGAAAGAATAGGACCACAGCAAAAGGCAGATGAGACGATTATAATGCATAACAGTGACAAAACTGAACCACTGAATTCTCATCTTGCTTTTCTTTACTCTTCCAAGGAGAATGATCTTTGGACTATGAAGGATAGACTGAAAATGGTTATGAGTGATTGGGGTGGAACAGTAACACAAGTTATGAAATTGCATAGTAACAATAATTCACTGAAATAACTGACAGATGTCATTGGTGAGTGGTCTTTTGAAGGAGAAAGCAATTTGTAGTGTATGGCATGCTGGATTTGAAACCAGAAGACCAGGATTCAAATCTAAGCTCTGCCACTGACTACCTGTGTAACCCTGGGCAAATCACTTAATTTCATTTAGCCTCAGTTCATTCATCATCAAAATGAGGGGATTGGACTCAATCTCTAAGGTCATTTCCAGCTCTAAATCTATGAGCCTCACAGCCACAATTATATACTTCACAGCTTGCAAAGATGTGGCTTTGCAAGGTAGGTTATGATTAGCCCCATTTATGTATGGGGAGACTGAGGCTCTGAAGGGATTTGCCCAAGGCAATTGTTAGTATCTGAGCCAGGACTCAGAAACCAAATCTTCTAACTTTTAAGTTCAATGCTCTTTTTACCACCCTCTGAAGCTATGATTCAAACAAAGTACTTACAGCTCTGGATGCCGTTTTCCAATATATTAAGTTGGGGTTGTTGGCACATTCATGCCACTCTGGGCAAGATTGATAGTTTATTTCTGAAAAAGACATTTTGTGCAAAATAAGGAAGATGAAAGGAGAGGTTGTAAAACACATTTCATGATGCTGCCACAATGTTGTAATGACAAAGAAATCTTCAGATCACATTCCTGCCAAGTAGATGTGAAGGGAATAGTGAAAACGGATGAATGTTGGCCCAATCCAATTAAGTGCTTCCTGGAATCCTGTCCAAGCATTCAACTTATTATCCAAGATCTCGACAGGAACACAGTCACAATATCTGAGTCATCATTCTGGGAAATACCTATGTGAACATTCCTTTTAAGGAAGCTTGAAATGGAAGGACCTACACCAGCCTCTAAATTAATCAGAAGAACAAAGCCTAGCTCATAGTGACCTCCTGCCAAGGTTGTCCAGGGATATATCTTTGAGGTAGGTGAACGTTGTCTCCATCATTCACAGACCTTCTTTCTGTACCCTTTGCTCACCAGTCTATGATATTTCCCATATTTAGGTTCCCAGTTGCCAGATGTTTTTCCTCCCCTCATTCTACTAACTCTTATTCTCTGGAAAATTCAGATATTAGTTCTCTATCCCTCAGTTGGAATTGAATTCAATTTGTTACCTCTCCTATGGTTTTACATTTTAAGCCTAATCTCTAATTGTCAAATGAAATGCTTTGCTTCCTTGATCCTTGTAGAATATCCTCAGGGCTACTCCAGCTAACCTAATATTGACATTATCCAACTATTGTCATTAGTCATTGAATCTCTTTCCTAACATATATGTGCATGGGGTAGTGGATGAAGTGCTAGATTTGGCATCTGAAGACCTCTGCTAAGATCTCCATGCCAACACTTATTAGCCATGAAACTGTTTAACCAAGTGTTTAATCATTTTATGCCTCAGTTTCCTCATCTTTAAAGTGAAGATAGTTGGGTAGCTAGGTGGCACAGCAGATACAGTGCCCTGCCTGGAGTCAAGAAGACCTGAGTTCAAATGTGATCTCAGATCCTTACTAGCTGTGTGACCCTGGTAAGTCACTTAACCCAGTTTGCCTCAGTTTCTCATCTGTAAGATAGGCTGGAGAAGGAAATGGCAAACCACTCTAGTATCTTTGCCAAGAAAACTCCCAAAAGGTTCCCTAATAGTCAGACATGACTGAAAAAAGACTAAACAACAAAAATAACACAATACCTACTGAACAGGATCATTGTGAGAAATGTACTTTATAAACCATGAAAATCTGTGGAACTGTGAGTTACTATTGTTGTTCCCTTCTTTTAATCACATCTTCAAGTTGGGCAGAGACATTGAATTATGTATAAGGGAAAGGAATTTGGAGTCTGAATATCTCAGTTGGAACCCCAGCTCTACCTTTTTTGAGAGAAGGTAGAATAGGGCAGCTAGGTGGCACAGTGGATAGAGCACTGGCCCTGAAGTCAGGAGGACCTGAGTTCAAATCCGGCTTTAGACCAAACACTTGACACTTACTAGCTGTGTGAAGTCATTTAACCCCAATTGCCTAAAAAGAAAAAAAAAAGAGAGAATGGCAGGAAAGGCTTGGTCAAGTGCTTTGAACTAAAATCTAGGGAAGATATTTTGGGGCAGCTAGGTGGCACAGTGGATAGAGCACTGGCCCTAAAGTCGGGAGGACTTGAGTTCAAATCCAGCCTCAGACCAAACACTTGACACTTACTAGCTGTGTGACCTTGGGCAAGTCACTCAACCCCAATTGCCTTAAAAAAAAAGGCAGAGTATAAACCTTAAATGAAGATATTTGGGCATGTGACCTGCCAACAGAGATAGAGCCCTTTCCTCTTACAATTTCTAATAAATTTGTACTTAAGGGGCAGCTAGGTGTTGCAGTGGATAGAGCGCCAGCCCTGAAGTCAGGAGTATCTGAGTTCAAATCCAGCCTCAGACTAAGCACTTGACACTTACTAACTGTGTGACCCTGGGCAAGTCACTTAACCCCAATTGCCTAAAAAAAAAATTGTACTTAAGTCAGACTGGAAGATGGAAATAACTGTCTTTGAAAAATGAAATTGAATTATTTTAAAATCAATTGAAAAATGGTAATAGATGACTATATCCTTTAAAATAAAAAGCAATCAATTTCACAAGTAGTGAAATAAACAATTTCACAATACAAACAAAATATTTCATTTTTATTTCCCTAACACCAAAAGAAAAAAAAACCTGAAAGTGTTACCAGATAATTGCAATTTGGTGAACTTTTAATCAACCATCAAACATTTATCATTAAAAAGTTTAGAAATGTTTTCCAATCCTCAATTTTGTTAACTGGATTTAATGTTGCTATAAATCATCTTCACCAACTTTAGGGATTTTCCAATTTGCAAGGTTTTATTAAGAGTGGTATTAGCTGTGACACATGGCAAAGTAAAGGAGGCATCAGGATAATTACAATACAAAATAAATGGGAATATCTCAGATTAGCTGTATACACGGTCATGATGTCAGGTTTAAACTATGAAAAAGGAAAAAGTCACCTGTCACTCCTCCTTTAACAGAAAATCTCATCTTTTTGACTGTTGCATTTTCCCTTCCATATAAAATGAATGCCCTCCCCCCCACTTCCCACCCTTTGCGGGGTGAAGAAACTCTAATTCCAAACTCCAACACTGAGTACTGTTTTTTAAAAAAGCTTTCATTTAGCAAATTTCTAAGTTAGTTAGTTTAGTGCTAAAGTTCCAGCATGAAAACACATCAAAGCCCAGTATTTGACTTTATATAAAAGGGGTAAAAATCATTAGAGCTAGAAAGGATCTTGGGGACCATTCAGGACAACCCTCTCAATTTATAGGTGAGAAAACTGAGTCACCTGGAGGTTAAATAGCTTGCCAAGGGTCACACAGCTAATATGTGTCCAAGGTGGGATCTGAACCCAGGTATTCCTGACTCCAAGCCCAAAACTATCGACCATATCATGTTGCTTAGCCAATCTCCATCACTTCTCCCCTTAATCTGCTTCAAAATAAAATCATGGGAAAAGGATATAAAAGATAAGAGAGGCAGCACCATGTAGTGGAATTTTAGAGACTTGGCTACTAATTCTACTTCTGTAACTACCTAGCTGTGTGACCTAGTATTAATAACTTAACCTCTCTGGGACTTAATACCTTTACTGTAAAACAAAGAGGCTAGACTAAATGATCTCTTCCATCTCTAAGAGATGATTCTGAATCATGTGAATAGATCAAAGCAAAACAAAACATTCAAGAAACCCTCTAAAAAATTTCAAATACTAAATTTTTAGAGAAAGCTTTCTGAAAATCAGAATATAGAAGCAAAATTCATAAAGTATGGAAAAATCAATCAGTTAGGGGAGCCTTAGTTGAGAAAGAGGCTATCAGGAGTCAGGTCAGCAATATCAGAAAATGGATTTTAAGAAGCGGCATTCTGGGAATGATGAAAACTCTGAAATATTTTCTCTTTTTGCAAGAGCATGGGGAGCTGAGCATTTGCAACAGATGCCACCTAAATACCTAAGATTAAAAACAATTCTGTTACAGGGGATAGAACACTAGATTCAGTACCATAACACCTGGTTTTGAGTCCTGGCCCCAACCAAGTTGTTTTGCTTCACTGAACCTCAGTTTCCTCATTTGCAAATTGGGGTTAATACCATATTTCACCGCATAATCGTTGCCACAGCATAATCGTTGTGCCAGTTTTTTTTAAGTCCAAAAATTGGTTTATAACCTTTCATCGCATAATCGTCGCGTGGTGTAATTCTGTTCATCACATGGCTTAAAGGTAAACAGAGCAGCAATGTATTCACCAGTGGCATATGGATACGCATTTATCTCTTGTGCATTGGGAGCCTAGACTTCTCAGGGTGTGGGCACCGTCAGCATATCTCCAAAAGTGAACTTGTGTGGTTTGGTTAGAGCACTGCAGTACTAATGGTATTGTCACTCAACCCATGAAAAGCTGTAAGTACAAGGGGAGCAGGTGGGCAGGCAAAGTGAGTAAGTCAACTTGATATGGTCAGACTTGCATCTTCCCTTGCTAGCTAAACTGTACAGTTCATCTGCCATAACGGCTGAGATTTAAAACCAAAGATTACCATCTTTAAAGATGATAAGAGAGTCCCTACCTAGCCTCAGTGAATTCAAGTCACCCGAGAAATTATATCTCTAGATCCTGAAGGAAATGGCAAACATGATTGCTAAATCATTGTTTATTATCTTTGCAGCACATGTTATTAAAGGGATTATTAAAAGGAACATCAAGAAGTGGAGATCACAAAGAGAAATGAACTACATCAAAAGCAGGTCTTACATGAACACCATCTCTCTTATTGCCTGCCTGGTCAACCCGTCTTAGTATCCTTTACTGGATCATCATCCTTATTTCCAACCTGTAGGTATAGCCCAAGACTTTATCCTATATCCCTTCTCTTGTGTGTTGATTTGGACTATTCAGTTTTAACATATATTCGCAAGTATTCCATGCATCCTATCTTGCACCAAAGACAGCTTAGTAATACATGATTTTTAAGTGATACTGGCACAATTTTTTAAAGGCATCACAAAATGGTCTCAACCCACTTTTAGCAAAATATTTGACATAAAATCTGTGACAATTATGTGGTAAAATATGGTAATACTTATACTGCTTGCCCACAGAGTTCTTTTGAGGAAAGGGCCCTGGCAACCTTAAAGAGACAGAGAAAGCAAAAGGACCTTGTTCCCTCTGAATATTCCTAAATTAATTAAAAAGTTAAAACTCTCACCTGAACTTGAAGGGTTTCCGCACCATGTGAGTCCATCAGCCATGTAGCCCAGCAGTGTGTCCTCCATAGTAAGTAAATTGCCCTGGACTTTGGTGTACTTATGAACCAGCTCATTGGTTTTGCTCCAGAGGAGGGTCTAAGAAAGAAGAGGCAATTAGTCTATCCCTACCTATCTTGTCCTCTCCACCAGCCAATCCCATCTAAATTGTTGGGTTCAGGTCAGATCCCATCGAGATTATTGGGTTCTTGTCAGATATTGATAAACTTCAGTGTCCAGGGAAGAGTGACTAGGACAGTGAAGAGACCCGATCACTACAACCTAAGGAAAACATATAAACAATTGGGAATATTGAACTCAGAGAAGACTTAAGGGTATGTGATTTTGATGTTGAACTGTACAAAGGGGTGCCTTGTGAAAGACTTGTTTCTTGAGAAGACAGAAATATAACCAATAAGTAGAAGTTACAAAGGAACAGATTAGGACTCAATTTAAGGGAAAAAATTTCTTAGTACCAAGAGTCTGGAAGATCTGAGTTCAAATGTGACCTCAGACACTTACTAAACTGTGTGACCCTAGGGAAATTACTTAACCTCTCTGTGCCTCAGTTTCCTCATTTATAAAATAAGGATAATAATAGCATCTACTTTGCAGGGTTGTTGTGAGGATCAAATGAAATAATATTTGTAAAGCACTTTGCAAATCTTAAAATATAAATTTTATTACTATTATTATGTGACACAATCAGGCCTGTGAAATCTTCACATAGAGCCATTGGATAACCATCAATCACAGATATTGCAAAAGGTATTCCTGTCTTAGTTGGGAATTTATACTATGAGATCTAAGATTCCTTTCAACTTTGATCCTAAAGTGAGCACAGAGGTCATCTGGTCCAACATTTTGCTGATGAAGAAACTGAGGCAAAGAAATGTTGGGTGATTTGCACAGGGTTACACAGCTGTTAAGTGCCTGAGGGCAGGATTTGAACCTAGGTCTTGCTGATGCCAAGTCCACTATGACATGCTGACACATTGAGATTGTATTCATGATTAGCAGGCTTTTGGATATGAGAAAGGATAGGTTTTCTGGCTAGGTACATCTTTGAGGGTTAGGTGTATGTGTGGTGGGAGTGGAGGGGAGGCAGGAATAATTGTACTTACAAACCTTTTTTTTTCTGCTAAGCTCTCTCACATCTTTTAATCCACTTGATCCTCATGACTTCTCAAACAGTTCTGGTTTTTTTTTTTTAAATCACTATTTATAAAATTGAGCAGCTGCTATTTAGCGTCACCTCTATTGGTAATTAGCTATATTTCCCTGAGCGACTGAGTGTCCCCTCTGACTCTGAGTTTTTTCACCTATAAAATGAGGAGTTGGACCAAGTAATCTCTACTGTCCATTTTACCTCTAAAATTCTGTGAGAACAGAGGTGGTTAAATAATTTCCCCAAGATCACATGGCTAGTTAAGGGGTAGAGGGAATGTTAGGACCCAGATCTCCTCCATTCTAATTAAGTTTTCTGCAACTTAATTGCAGAAATTAATAACAATAATAATAATAATTTTAGCTGTGATTGGACAAAAACTTTATGGACATCCTCCAAATTCCCCTTTGCCACAGTAGGAAGTTAGGAAAGATTTAGACAGTCTCAAGGGAGAGAATCTGACCAGATGCACAGTTGTGGGCCCTAAGGAGGGTATAATACACTAAAGATAATGCATTCGGACCTTTCTTCTTGAACTTAGAATGGAAGTGTGGCACAACATATAGACCTGAGTTCAAATCTTGCCAACACTTACAAGCTATGTGTGACATAGCATTTAACCTCTTAATGATTTAGGCAACTCCCTACGACATGGCTCCTATGTCATAGATGGATTGCAACATGTTAGTTAGGGGTGTTTCCATAGAAGGAACTCTCTAAACCAGAAAATCACAGATCTTTCACATACTAGATATTTTCCTTAATCTAATCCCAGAGTGAAGGAGTTTGGCCTAGAGAACTATCCATTACACTTCTCTCAGTCAAGGGAATAGGAATCCTAAGTCCTTCCTGTAAGTTAATCTTGAAGATGAAGAGTGTCAGTTTCTCCTATTGATCCTTTCAGACAATAATAAAAATAACTCACATTTAACTAGTGCTTTTAAAGTTTCCAGAGCACTTTTCTCACAACCATCCTGTGAGCGAAGTTGTATAAATACTGTTATACCTGTTTTACAAATGAGGAAACTGAGGCTGGAGATGTTCTAAGTCCTAATCCAAGGTCACACATTTGATAAATGATTAATCAAAGGTTGATTCCAAGACAGCCCTAGAAAAAAGCATGAAATGGGTAGAATTTGCCTTTAAATTTTCTTTCTCCTTTTAGTGACCCTCTTCCAGGTACTCAACAAGAACTTTTCATCATTTGAAGCTTGCCCTCCCTACCACTGTTCCCCTGACAGGTCCAGGCCCTCCGCCATGAAATTTATTCGCTCCTAATCTTGTCTCCACTGTGTCTCTGTGGCTTCCAAAACCTACCTGAGTGAAGGTGATAAAGTGTACACTGATGGGAGGGGGCCAGATGACCCAGCTGCTCCCCAAACAGTCCTCCTTTCCTTCCCAATAGACCTGCATGGATCTGAACGCATTCTAGAAAAGGTCACCCTGTCTTCATGGTCTAGTGCTAATGTTTGGAATTTCAGGCCAAGGGGCAGGATGAGCTCCTACAGGATGATTGTGGGAATAAATCCTGGAAAATGGAGTCTTGTCCCAATCCTCAAATCACATGTTGTTATAGCTGCCTTTTCTGATAGGGTCCCTGGTCACTGTAAAATGACAAGTATACAAATATTGATTGAGCATTTATTGTATGGAAGCCACTGGTTTTGATCTTGAGCTTTAGCCTTAGAAATATAAAGCATGATTCCTCATGGACCTTATAATCTACTGGAGGGGAAAAAAACAAAACAAATGTAAATAAGGAGGTAATTAACAAAAAGTTAAAAGAAAGATGCAGGCACTAAATGCTAAGGGACCTCAGAGGAGGAAGAGATCATGGTGGTCTAGGGTAGACAAGGGGAATATCACGGAGGAAGGGAGAGCCGATAACTAGGACCTGAATCAGAGGAAAGATTGCTATTTAGAAGTTTTAGGGAATACTGTGGTCAGGAATTGAAGAGATGATTTACAGAGGCTGTTATTACCCCAACATTAATCAAGCCAGAGCATTGTGTACCTATCCCAAGCCTAATTAATGCTTTATCCTTCTCTGTGGGAGGCAGCGTGGTCTAATAAAATCACCTTGGACTTGGAAGATGGGTTCAAATCTTGACATTAACACCAGTTAAAAAATAAACCCTTAGCTCAGTTTCCTCATCTATAAAACAGATGGTATTATTTCTCCTGCTTACCTAATGGGTATTTTGAAAGCCTTAAGGCATCATACAAATGTGAGTTATTATTATTATTATTAGATAAGACACCGTCCCTCCCCTGAAGATATTTAAGCTTTATGAGGTGACAAGATACTTATAGATAACCATAATATCTGGGTCAGATCATGAAATTATTTTTCTACTACAATTCCTCATTGAAATAGTGCTAGAGGGGCAGCTAGGTGGTGCAGTGGCCCTGGAGTCAGGAGGACCTGAGTTCAAATCCGACCTCAGACACATAACACTTACTAGCTGTGTGACTCTGGGAAACTCACTTAACCCCTAATTGCCTCACAAAAAAAAGAAAGGAAAAAAAGAAAAGAAATAGTACTGTAAATCAATGTGTTTTTTTCCATACTACAACTCATATTTATTTCCCTGGTGTCTCCCATAAATGGACGTTGTTACATGCCTTATAAGATCACGTTGTGGAAGTCCCTGTTGCAACAGAGGCCCAGGGTATCCAGCCCAGTCCTCTTTCAGCACAGAGTGGCCTGCCCTATGAAAGGTAAGCATGGTCTTTGGGATGTCTCCTACCCACATCGGTGCTGTTGGCTTTTTTTAGTTGCTGAGTATTAAGATTTCTTTTAAAAATGACTTTGTTAATAATGAGAAAAGTAGATATGACCAGAGTGACTCAGAATACAAATATGCTTCTACGAAGTCCAAACAGTGACTTACCTTATTACAAAGTATAGGCTGAGCAGCCAATTCCATTAGTGGCTGATAATCTTGTTCTGTAATGTTGCATGGGTTCTTGGAAATAAATGCATTTTTAAAAGTTTCCCATATTTTCAGACAATCTTTTCTGTAGAAAAAGAAAGAAAATGTCTTTGTGCAGGGCCCAAATGTTTAAAAAGAATACTATTTAATTCTTCAACATCAGCCATCAGCAATGGGTTTAAATGTCTATTACTTATTCATTGGATATTTAGATACTAGGTAAAATTGGAGAGTTCATAGAGATCTCACTTTTCTCAATGAGAAAATCAGTCAGGTTTTATCGACTTTTGTGGTATAATAACAATAATTCACTAATGAGGCACTTAGATGTTTACAGAGTACTTTCTTCTCAAAAACACTGCAAAAGAATTAGAGCGAGAATGATTTATCTCCATTTTAAAGATGATGCGGCTTGGTGGTGCAGTGTATAGAGTGCTAGGCCTGGGGTCAGAAAGATTCATCTTCCGAGTTCAAATCTGACCTCAGACACTTACTGGTTGTGTGGGCAAGTCACTTAACCTTGTTTATCTCGGTTTCCTCATCTGTAAAGTGAGCTGGAGAAGGAACTGGCAAACCATTCCAGTAGCTTTACCAAGAAAACCCTAAACGGGCTCATGAAGCATCGGTCATGACAAAACAACAACAACAGACGTTCTGTAGATGAGGAAACTGATTCTCAAGGATCCAAGGTGACTTGTCCAAGGTCATGCAGTTAAAGGGTGTCAGAGCCAGGATGCAATGGAAACAGTCACTGCTGGACACAGCACTTTGTCCCCAAACCCCATCTGAATCCTGCAAGCATGCATGTAAACTAAGGACAAGGAAGAGAGTTCAAAAGCTTACTGGGGTGGGCAGCTAGGTGGCGCAGTGGGTAGAGCTCTGGCCTTGGAGTAAGGAGGACCTCAGTTCAAATGCAGCTTCAGACACTTGACATTTACTGGCTGTGTGACCATGGGCAAGTCACTTAATCCCCATTGCCTCACCAAAAAGCAGAAAAAAAAGCTTACCAGGGAGGTTACATTAATGGCTACGTGGAGAATAAGGCTTTGAATTCCTCAAGGAAAGCACCTACCTTCAGGAACAAAGAATAACCTGTTGCCATTATCATTTTGATTGTTACTATCTTTTGGAGTTTGAGATCCACACTATAAAGTGGGTGAAAAGTTGTCATATGAGAAGAGATTGTAGGACTGTGAGACAAGTTATAGGAGCCAGACCTGGGAGGAAGAGCACCATCCTTGCAGGAAGCCATGGGATAGGGCAAAGACTCATTAGCTCCATGCTTGGCTAAGGATGTCTCCACCTTTACTAAAACAGTTGGCCCCTGGTGACTTCAAGTGTGTATCTGTTGGCATCTTCCCCATCCTTAAACCTAACTTGTATGGGAGAGTAGGCCTGAAGCAGTGGGAGGGCCTTGCCCTGCTGTGCCCTACTCTTAATTTATTGGTTTTCCTGGGGAGCCTGGCTGCCCCAGCCAGTGGAGCCGCTCCCCCATGGTGTCCATACTGTGTCCCTCTGGCCCTCTCTGCGATCTGCCCCTTCTGGAGTCCCTCGGAGGGGCAGACCCTGGCCTTGGGTTGGGAGGGCATGTCCTCTGCCCACCTGTCCTGCCTCCTGCTCCATCCCCCATCTCACCAGTGTTTGAAATAAAGGCCTGTGTCCTGGTCACCCCAGCAAAAAAAAAAAAAAACAACCTAACTTGTGGGGCAGTTAGGTGACTCAGTGCATGGAGCACTGGGCTTGGAATCAGGAAGACTCATCTCCACGAGTTCAAATCCCTCCTCAGATACTTACTAGCTATGTGACCTTAGACAAGTCACTTCACCCTGTTTTGCCTTAGTTCCTCAGCTATAAAATGAGCTGGAGAAGGAAGTGGCAAACTATCCATTATCTCTGCCAAGAAAAACCTGAACGGGGTCACAAAGAACTGGATATGAGTGAAAACAACATAACGATTAAATCTAACTGGGCTGATAAAGGGAAGGTGATATGACAGTTCCTGTCGTTCTACACACCAGGGAGCTGCACCCTCCTATTGCTCCCGTCCCTTCTGCTTTGTCAAGAACAGAACCTTAGTGGCAAGGAAACTGAAGGTTGGTAGGAATTCCTCAGGACAATTATATAAATTCCCCTAGAAACTCAGGAAATGTTAAGAAACCAGTGCTTATGAAAGAAGAGACTTTTTTTTTTGCCTAGATTACTAATGAGTGTTAATAGAGGTTTCCATTGGCATGAAGTTCTGTAACTAAAATTGGCTACAAATGAAGGTAGATTTCTTTCCTCTTTGCAGAATCCTGTCCTGGAATATCCTGCTTGGCAAAACACCTGGGTACTGCACTCAGAGGCAATGTTGCAGATAAAAAGGAGGTGGGTGGCTCAGGGCCTTTGTGGAACAAGACACTCGATTGTGTAGAGCTGTTTTTTCAGTACACACATGTTTCATCTGCTGCTGGCTTCAGGGAAGTAACATGGAGAGGTAGAACCATATGCTTTGCCCATCTGTCTGGGGGCACTGAGCAAGCACTGGTGTCTTCCAGGGAGGCTTCCCTGAGATCCCAACCCACCAAGTTCTCACCCTCCTCCAAGATCTAGCGTATTTAGAAGGGACCCCTCTGAATGGTAGGTGCCAAAAGCTTACAAGATTAAGAGCTCCTTAAAAACAAAAACAAAACAAAAGACCCTGGCACACTTCTTGTACTTCCATAGGCACTAACCCAATTCATTAGGACTATAAGTGCACATTAAGTAGTACCTGGGTGAGTGGTTGATTGGTTGATTAGATTGCAAATCACGGAGTTAAATTGGCCTATGTATATATTGGACAGAGCAAAGAATGCCAGGTTTGGAGGTGAAGGACTAGGGTGTGTGTGCCTGCTGTGTTACTTACTACGAGTGCGACCTCAGGCATGTCTCTTTACTTTCGTAGGCCTCAATTTCTTCATTTGAAAAAGTGGCTGATAAGAGGAGAGCAAGGAATAGTTTCCCTGTAAGATTTATGGAGAAGGGAAGAATTTATGACCAAACGAGAGATAGAGAATGTTATGAAATACAAAATGAATCATTTTGATTACATTAAATTAAAAAGGTTTTGCACAAACAAAGCCAATGCGACCAAAATTAGAAGGGAAGCAGAAAGCTGAGAAGGAATTTTCATGGCCAGTGTCTCATGTAAAGGCCTCATTTCTAAAATATATGCAGTGCTGAGTAAAATTTATAAGAATACAACTGATTAATTGTCCCCAACTGATAAATTGCCAAAAGATATGAAGAGTCAGTTTTGAGATGAAGAAATTAAAGCAATCTATAGTTATATAAAAATGCTCTAAATCACTGTTGATTAGACAAATGCACATTAAAACAACTCAGAGGTACTACCTCACACCTATCAGATTGGCTAATATGACAAAAAAGGAAAATGGTAAATGTTGGAGAAGATGTGGGAAAATTGGAACACTCCTGCATTATCGGTGGAATTGTGAACTGATCCAGCCGTTCTGGAGAGGAATTTGGAACTATGTCTAAAGGGCTATAAAACTATGCATACCCTTTGATCCAGTAGTACCAATTCTAGGACTGTATCCCAAAGAGATCATAAAAAAGGGGAAAAGACCCACATGTACAAAAATATTTATGATAGCTCTTTCTGTGGTGGCAAAGAATTGGAAATTGACAGGATGCCCATCAACTGGAGAATGACTGAACAAGTTGTGGTATATGAATGTAATGGAATCTCAGAAAAACCTGGACTTACATGAACTGTTGCTGAGTGAAGTGAGAAGAACCAGGAAAACACTGTACACAGGAACAGCAACATTGTGCAATGAACAGCTTTGATGGACTTGGCTCTTCTCAGCAATACAATGATCTAAGACAATTCAAAAAGACTCATCATGGAAAATTGTGTCCACATCCAGAGAAAAGACTATGGAGTCTGAATGTAGATCAAAACATACTTTTTTTTCTTTCTCATGGTCTTTCCCTTTTGTTCTGATTCTTCTTTCACATGTCTAACATGGAAATATGTTTATTATGATTGTACATGCATAGCCTGTATCAGATTGCATGTCATCTTGAGGACAGGGGAGGTGAAGGAAGGACTCAAAATCTTACAAAAGTGAATGTTGAAAACTATCTTTACAGGTAATTGAAAAAAAATAAAATACTATTAAGTGGAAAAAAAATAATTTTAAAATGAGGGAAAAAAATTTTAAATAAAAATAGGCTGAATTAGATGACCTCAGAGGTCCCTTCCACTTCTAAATCTATAAGTCTATGAATTCAGCCCACGTTTGAGGCTGTTGTTTGTCCTTCCTACTGGAAGAGACCGATCACATGATGTCGGGGTCGAGGTACAGTGTGTCTGGCTGTGGCTGATCAGTCCAATACCAGCTCTGCAGACTTGAAGCGTATTCTGTGGTTTATCAATTAATGGATTGATCAACAAACATTTATTAAAATGCTACAGATGCTGGGTGCTAGGGGAGATGACAAGTTTAGAGAAAACATGGTTCCTGGCCTTATGAAGCTTATAATTGATGGAAGATGACTATAATGAAGAGTAATGCATAATAGTGATAATCCTTAGAGTTGGGATTATGATTCACTTACGTGACCTTGCCCTAGTCATAGTCATGGTCTTTCCCTTTGGTTTTAATTCTTCCTTACAACATGACTAATATGGGAATATGTTCATCATGATTATACATGCATAGCCTATATCAGATTGCATGCCGTCTTGGGAAGGGGAGAAAATTTAGAACTCAAAAATCTTATAGAAGTGAACGTTGAAAACTAAAAACAAATAAAGAAATAAAATTTTAAAAAAAAGAAATGTAAGGAGAACACTCCATATATAAGGAACAAGATGAGCTAAGGTCCATAAGCAAAAAAAGTCCATTTCCTTTTTGGGTCAGGAATCTCCTTAATTGTGTTTTTGATGTTTCTCCTATTCGCTTCTGGAACTCATTCCCTGTCCACCTACTGGGCATCCAAGAAGGATGCCGTGGGGGGAAACAGAGCCTTTAATTGCACAACAAAAGATTTGTTTTTAGGAGAAACTTCAAACACTCTTGAGAGAGGTAATAATACATTGGTTTAAATGTATACAAAGATGTAAATGAATGATAACAGACCTTTTTCCTGAAAGCAGATTTTGAGAAGGGGGACGAGGGAGAGGATATAAAGACACTGGGTGTATAGCAGAAACTATGGAAAGGGAAAAAAGATGAAGAGTGGGGAGGGGAGAAACTGGGGGCACACTTCTCATTTTTCCAGGACCCATCCATATTTCCACCAAAGAATGAATGTGGTATGACTAATATGGAAATATGTTTAACATGATTGCACATGTATAACCTATATCAGATTGCTTGCTGTCTTGAGAAGGAGAGAGGAGAGGGAGGGGAAGGAGAAGGAAGGGAGGGAACTCCAAATCTAATAAAACATGAATATTGAAAATTGTGTTTACATGTAATTGGGGGAAATAAAATACTTTTTACATTTTTTAAAAGAGTGAATGCGGCTATTGGGAAAGAAGTGAAAGGCACATCAGTCCATTTTGTCACTTGCCAGAAGAAATAGACTGGTGGAAGAGATTGTCAATGCTGCTGATGAAAAGAAGGCCTAGGAACTACAGGAGAATTCACAAGTCACTTCCTTCCCTCAGTTTTTCCATCTGTAAAATGGAATTGAACTAGATAATCGTTAAAGTCTCTCCCAGCTCTACTAGTCAATTCAGTTCAGTTGAATTCAACATAAACTTATTAAGTTTCTGGTATATGTTGAGTACTATCTTACATGTCTCAGAGATGGAAAGTTTAGGAAGACTTGGGTCCCTGCCAGGGTAACTTCCCAGGGTTATTGTGAAGATAAAATGACAAAATACATGTAAAATACTTTGCAAACTTTAAAGCGCTATATAAGTATTTTATCATTATTATTATTAGTTTCCATACCTCTTCTTGATCTTCAAAATGGTCAAGCTAATGAAAGTGAGTCTTAAGCAATAAAATCAAAATAAAATCATTTCCCATCTTGATGCCTCTTCTTTGGATTCTCATGAGGATCCAACCTTTCCTCAATTTGGTCATTCTTGTTCTGACTCTTACTTTGGTATCTCCTCCATCACCAAACTGTTCACATTAGAAACAATGAGGAATTCTAATTTGGCAGCAAGAAGGGGAGATCTTCCAGGATTGCTAAAGGACCATCCCTTCCGCTCTTCCTCTGGAAAGCCTCATGTTGAGACACAGCCCTTTGGCCATGTCACTGTGAGAAGGTACCTAGCACTTCAACAATAATTCATTGTACTATGATCTTGAAAAGCTCTGTACAAGTTTAAAGTTCATCTAATGCTTTAAAGGTTTATTTCATCTCTTTTCTTCCAGGACTTATTACACATAAGACCCTGTAGGAATCTAGGTCAGAACTGTGGGAGTAAGACTAAGATTTGCCTTTTGCCCTCGTGGGGTTTTCAACTGGTCAGGAACACAAGAGGAAAATACAAATGACTATTACAGAAATCAGAATGTGGAAATGCAAGGAGGGCAGAGGGCTTTGTTATTTAAGGAGATAGAGATATCACTTTTGTCTGGGGGCAACAGGGGAAAGTTCTTGGAGAGATAACATTTAAACTAGGAGCAAAGGGAACCTGAAGGCTGGAAAAGAATAACAGGCAAAGGTAACAGGACAAGCAAAGGCAGTAAGGTAGGAAAGAGTGAGACATATCTGGAGAAAAAGTTATTTAGGTTACCTAGTGTCAGATAAAACAAAGGAAATAATATATAAAACCTTAAGGTTTACAAAGGACTGGCCTTGAAATACCACTGTGAGGTAGACATCACAAGTATTATTATCCCCACTTGGCAGGGGAAACTAAGACTTGCAGAGATTGAGTGATTTGTAAGTGGCATGTGGATGCAGTTTTCTCTTGACTCCAAATCTAGTACTCTTCCCACGACACTGTTTTACTGCTCCTTAGACATGGGAGTAATCCAATGCAACAAGTATTTATTAAGTACCTACTATGTACAAGGCACTGTAACAAGAATACAAAGACAAAACAAAAAAGCATCCCTACTGTCAAGGAGCTAAAATTCCACTGGGAGGACATATTTAAACAAATATATGTATGATATTTATATATATGATTATATAATTTGTATTATTTGTGTGTATACACATAAATACACACATAATTATTTGAGGATGGATAGAACACTTCATACAATGAGGGAGATGAGGATAGTCTTCCAGAAGAAGGTGGAATATGAAATGAATCATGAAGGAAACCAGAGATTTTAAGAGACAGAAATGAGGTGGGAGTGCATTCCACTTATGAGGCACAGCCTGGATAAAGACTTGGATGCAGAAGATTGAATGGCAAGTATCAGAGAAGAGCTGGGAGGAAGGTAATGTGGAATAATAATAAGAATGGTTAACATTTATATAGCATTTTAAGATTTGCAAAGGACTTCAGAAACACTATCTTATTTGATCTTCACAAAAATCCTGTGAAGTAGATCTATTATTGTCCTCATTTTATGGATGAGGAAATTGAAGATTAATGGGGTTAAGTGTCTTTGCTGGGGTCGCACAACTAGGAAGCATCAGAAGTGGGATCAGAATCCAGGTTTTCTTGACCACACCTGGCATTCTATCCATGATGCCATACTGTTTTATAATCAAACCACAGAGTCAAAGATCTCAGATTTAGAGTGAGAGGTCATCTAGTCTCAAGGCTACCAAAAGGATTCCCTAAACCTCCTCATTTTATAGATGAAGACACTAAGACCCTCAGAAGTTAAATGACTGGCCCAGGGTCCCATGATGAACTTAAATCCAGATCCTCTGAATCTAAACCCAGTACTTTTTCTACTAAAATATTCTACATCTCAAATCAAATTAAATCAACCCGGAGTATTGGGAAAGAGATAAGGATAAGAAAATGGAGCCAGGTTTAAGAGGGCTTTGAATTCCACACAAAATGTG